AAATAAAACACCTTCCGACTTAGTTATAACACAGTAACAAGTGAGGTTACAAAAAGTGTTCACTGTCTAAGATCACTCAAGTTACTTACTATCTTAAAAGAAGTAGATATAGGATAACACCACATCATCAAGACACAAACATAAAAATAGAAGAACAAGAGGAAGAACTATTTGATGAAGAAACTAGCATTTTATTTTCTGCAAATACAATCAAGCATAGTTGATAGTTCTCAGAAAACAGAATATGTAACAAAAACAAATTCTTCAAGACAAATATGCGAACATATGCTTTGCTAGGTAAATCCAAAAAAAAAAGAATAAAGTATATTCAGTGAATTCTAGAAAATAATTATCATATTAAAACAATCAAAGAAGTATTCAAAAATGGGAATAATTAGATAGAAGTAGATTTTGATTATAAATATAGCAGAAATGCAGTGATGAACAGAATCAAGAAAAAAGAAAATGAATGGCTCAAACTTATTTCAGAAGAGAATAAAAGTAGAAACCAGAAAACAGATCAACAAAAGAAACACAATATTAAAAAAGAAGAAGAAAAAGACATAAAATAAACAAGAGGAAATGAAAAACCAAGAAGAATAGAAGAAACAAAGAAACTAGAAAAAAAAAAGAAGAAAAACATGTTATGAAGAAAAGCAGTTTAATAAGAAATAGTGAATACAAAGACAAAAGAAAAGGAAAAGAATTGCAAAAGGAAAAACAGATAACTATATGAAATCTACTATCAAATATTAATAAAAAAGAGATCAAATATAGTGTGAACAGCTTAATCCTATCAAATAGCTAAGCCATTGCTGAATTTTTTGCCAATCATCACATGATTATTGACTAATCAAGTGCATAATTGCTCCAAAATTTGCTAAATAGAAAAATCAATCAACACAAATTACGAGCAAGGTTGCTTCGAAATTTGCCAAATAGAAAAATGAATTAATGCAAGATCAAGAAAAATATACAAAATATACATATATATGAATTCAAATGCATAATTTTTATTATATACGTATATATGCATGCATTTCGAAATGCACAGTTTACTTTTGTCATATTTGTGCATATAAGCATTTCAATAATTTACTTTTTTGATGGTTTACCATAGCATAAAATTGGTTTTCAATAATAAGATGTTGTTCAAATCCTTACAATTAATTGAGTGTTTAATGTAGTTAAATGAAGAATGAATTGTTAAAAATTCATTGTTCAAAATGCAGATTTTAGGGTGTTCTTAAGCATCTAAATTAATAGATTAGTGCTTAATTTTTAATTAGCAGAACATAATTTGAACAGTTAATTAAGCTTTTCATCGCAATGAAAAAAAAGATAGTCTAGACCACCTTTTTTTATCATAAAGGTGTGTTTATTGGCTAAACTTTAAGATCCACATTTCGCAATATAAACCTTTAGCAAAATTGCTGTAAGAATAAGCTCAATTATTTATGATGCTTGTGCACAACCTCATTTACTAGTTGATCACATTGAGGAAGATGCTTGAGAGCACTCTTATTCTAAAAAAAATTGGTAATTGTAGCTTCAGATTTTTTTTGAGCTAAGTAATAGTTACAATCAAATTTTATCACGTTCAGTAAACACTTTGAAGGAGAAGTTTAAGAATGGCCTAAGAGTGTTCTCAAGCTTCAACTTCAATGTAATTGGCTCATGATCTTAATCGTGCACAACTATAATTATATTTACGTATAATGAAACGAATAAGCAAAGTTTGCTCAAACGTTATTCTTTATGTGATTAGCTAATAAATGTGATGATGCTCATTTACTATAATCAATCAAAATAAGAACTGCAATTGATGCTTGAGCAATACACTAATATTTTATCAAATGCTGTTATTACTACATTTATTTCGTTGACATTCAGTGGTTATATAATAAAGTTATTGATAAAGTTGCTTGTGTGATCTCTTTAAAAATGCAATTAATTGTAAATTTTGCCAAGCCAGAATATCATTACGATCAGATTTGTTAAAGATGGATTCTATATATGAATTTATATATGAATTCGCACTGATTTACATTTGTATTTATACAGTTTAAAGTACTTTTTTCGAATATAAAATTTCACAAATAAAAAAATAAAATTAAACATGACACCTTCTTCAAATAATCCTACACCTAAAGGTACTTTACTTAAAAGGTAAAGTTTCTAAGTATACTGCAATTATAGAACTAGATGTAATTACTAAAATGTTAAATGTAGTTGAATTATTGAAAAAAACTAAAAGTACAACCTTTTTTTATAAATAGATAAAGCGATTTCTAAGCTATATTAAAAATATTTTAAAATATAAAGAATGCTAATATATAAGAATAGAATTAGTAACAAGTGCTTAAAACTTTATATATGTATTATGAATCTTATTACAGTGAGCTTTAGTATAACAAACTATAGATTCTTAAATATTATATGAGTGATGGGCAGAGAAAACTGAGATATCTAAAAATAGTTTTTTTTATACAGAGAAGTACAGTATTTTAAAAAGTTATCAGTAAAACACGTAATTGAAAGAGAGTTAGCTCTGGATCGAATTTTTCTGTGTTGTATTAAAGTCTGCACTTCTTTGTATAAAAAAATCTATTTTTAGATATTCCAGTTTTCTCTGCCCATCACTTATATTAATTTGTGTAAAAAACGTAATACACATTTAAAAAATATATGTGGGTTTTTTTCTTTTTATTCTTTTGTAAAAGTGAGAAAGAGTAAAAAATTAAGTTTGGAAGAATTAGCCAAATTAGAAAATGTTTTACAAAAGATTATCAATAATGATAAATCGTTAATTTAAACAACCCTCCTGAAAATTAAATGATCATCTAATTATGTACTAACTTTGGCATCTTTTATAAGTATTTAATTACTTTCTCAAATTTTTTTTTTTTTAAGTTTTAAATAATTTTTCATGATTGATTTGTTTTTGAGATATTAAACTAGCTACAAATATAACTTATTATAACTAATATTTTAGATATTTTTAAATTTAACAGTATTTCAATACCGAAAAGAAGTAAACATGCAAAACAATCACTAGAAGCTATTAGAAAACATTGGAAGCAAGCAAAAAATTCTGATAAAGAATTAGAATCTAAATCAGTTAAAGAATTAGAATCTAGGATAGTTAAAGAATTAGAGCCTGAACCCATCGAGTATGAGGAAGTTGTTAACGAGATGCAAATAGAAAACTCTAATGAGCTATCAGATGCTAAACCTGATGAATGTGATGAATGTTTCAGTACTTTTTGGATAGAAGATGAGGAAAATCAGTTTGATAGTGAAGACATCATGGATCAACTACAAGGGCTGCAACAAAATACACTGGAGCAATTAGTTAAAAATGCAAAGACAAAAATATGGACTACAAGTTCACATGAACCAATATATAAAGGTGATGCAGAATCAACATTGCACAACAAGAGAGCATATTGGAACAAAGCGGTTTCAGGTTTTAAAAAAATTACTAATATGTTTCCTTTAAAGAATGTTGAAGTTCCTGAGTCACATACAGAAAATTATGATTTTATATTTGATAACATATACAATAGTAGCAATGATGATGATAGTAAATTTACATTAGAATTTTTAGATTTATTGTTAAAAAATAAGAGCAATGATTTGTGACTTAGGATGGTGAGTCAATATCTCTATCTGGTTCAGAATCAGGGATTTAGCAAGATGGATGCAAGTATATTTCTTTCTCAGAGCTTAGGCAAAGAATCATGGCATGCACAACTTATTCACTCTTGGGCAAACTAGTGGCTAAATAAAGGTGAGATTATTACATCTAAACATGGTTATCATGCAAAGATTAGATTTCTTTTTCTCTATGAAGATTTTAAATTACGAGTTACTGAATATTTGCATACACATAAATTTACATTAAGGATTGCTGAATTTGTAAAATTCATTGAGGATGAGGTTATACCTGCTCTTGTAATAGAGGAAAAGACAACTATTTTGCATACAACAGCATGTGAATGGTTGTATAGGCTTGGTTGGCAATATAAAGATCATTCAAAAAATATATATTTTAATGGTTATGAACATGAGGACATAGTAGCATATTGGTATGAATTTTTGCAAAAATTTGCAGAATTATAAAAAAGAATGACTACTTATGAAGGTGAAAATTTGGATCAGATTATTCTACCTTTACTTTTATCTGAGATTGTTCCTATTATCTAGGATGAGTTGTTATTTTATGCCAAGGATGGTGCTGTTAAGGCCTGGAGTTCAGAAGATGAAAGCCAACTTCGTCAAAAGTCGCAAGGTCTTAGTATCTGTGTAAGTGACTTTATTTGTGAATCTATCAGGCATTTTCAACTTTCAGAGGAGGAGTGTGCTATTAATGATTCATTACCTGATGATGAGTGGCTTATATATACTGAAGTCTGTGTTGTCATGCATCCTGGTATAAATCGTGATGGCTGATGGACAAGTAAAGATCTCATTAAGCAGGTAAGTAAACGTGCAATTCCAATATTTGAACGAACTCATCTGGGAAAGATTGATTTGTTCTTGTTTGATAATAGTTGCAACTACAATGCATTTGCTGATGATGCATTAGTGGTTACAAGAATGAACATGAAGGATAGTGGTAAACAACCTCTTCTCTGTAATGGTCAAAAACCTGATGGCTTGACACATTTCATGACGTTCACAGATATCGATGGTGTAGTAAAACTCAAAGGTATTCGACGAGTTATTCATGAGTGTAGATTGTGGATACCAGGCATGATAAGAAAATATGATGTGAGTAAACAAAATAATCCAGATCCAATTAATCTGAATTGTTGTGCAACATGCATTCTTTCTGCACAGCCTGACTTTGCATCTCAAAAATCATATCTACAAGAGGTAAGTTGCTGTATAATAAAAAAAAATTGTTGATAATTTAACTTATTAATGTTAATAATTTTTTTAGATCATTGAAGCAGCAGGCTATATGTGTATGTTTTATCAGAAGTTCTATTGCGAACTTAATTATATTGAGTCATTCTGGGCAGAAACAAAAAGGTATTAATACCTCCATTGTGACTACATGTTCAAGAGCCTTCAGGAAGTTGTACCACATGCATTGGAATCCATTAGCCTAACAAAAATTCACTGATTTGCATATCATTCTGAATGCTACATGAGTGTTTATAAACTTGGGCTTACAGGTAAGGCAGCTGTTTTTGCAGTGAAACAGTATCAATCACATTGCCATGTTCCTACAAGTGTTTTAGAAAAATTTGGTAATGTTAATCAGTAAACTAAAAAAAAATAATAAAAAATAATATAAAATAAAAAAATATATAAAATTAAATTTAAAAAAAACAAATATATTAAAAAATAAAAATCAATAAAAGTAAAGAATTTTTATTTTCGCACTTCTTTTTTATTATCAATTAATAAATTGGTCAACTTTAAATAAAAAAAATTTAATATACATGTGATTAGTTCATATAAAAGCACTGATGAATATAATAGATTAGTTCATATAAGGGTATGTATACACCAGTGAAGCTTAAAATATTATATAGTAATAGCTATATCCTGGGTGATTGGATGTATATATTGTGAAGATACAACTGTATTGGCTGCCTATGCAGCTGATACTGTTGTATTTTTTTTTTTGCATATTATCTTTGATGTTAAAGACTAATATGAATAACAGTACTTATATGTACATACTCAGTCACCTCAATTAAGTAGATATATTATTAATTGGGCAACACCAAAAATTACTTTAGTTACTCACATTTGTATTTGCCAAATTAAAAACTACTTATGAAACCTTACTCTTTATTAATTATAACTTTTTAAATAATAGCTTTTCTTTTGAACTATTACAATTTTCGCATTATTACATTTGCTCTATAATGTTTATTAAACAGTAATACAGTAACACATATCTATACTAAAACATAACTACTTAATAAATTCTACACAATATTAAATAATATAGACATTAGATCATTAAAAAAAGTCATTTTACTTCAATACAATAAGTTCAACGTCTAATGAAAGTTTTTCAAAAACTAAACTCATCTCAACCATTTTGATTCCTTTTAATCAATTGTTTTTGCATTCAGTACTTATATAATGCATAATATTTTTATTTTTAGCGATGCAGAAAAGACCATACAACATATAAAAAAATTATTTTACAATGCCAGATCATTCCACTAGTACATGTTATGATTATAATTCAGCATCATTTTTATTATATAATAAAATGGATGATCTGGTATTGTAAGATAATTTTTTTATATATTGCAAACTGGGTGAAGGATCAATTGCATAACATCAATGGTCTTTCCTGTAAGTTTTACAAAGTGAACATTGGTGTTCTTTTAATGCTACTAATTCTTGCTTCTTTCTGGGACTAAGGTTCACATTTTTCAAGGTATTCTATCTATTCTTGTTCTATAATTCTCAAACACTTTACTTTGTACTTCTTTTGATAAATTTTCTAAACTTTCTTAAGAATTTTACACTGTACTGCTTAAATATAGGTTTTCAAAGTGAATCAGCAATCATGGCAAATACTGTCAACTACTAATATAATGGACACCCCTAGACCAGATTCACCAGTTTAACAGACTAATTGCAAAAAACCAAATCTTTAATATATAAATAATTTATAATGATTATAATGAAATAATAATAAAAAAGTCATATAACAGAGATTTGTTCTTAGCCAAGATTTCTGTTATATAGATAGTTGACAGTATATTATAATTCAATTATTTGATATGTTACATTCTTGGGTTTGAGTCCGAATTTCTTGATGTTTAAACTTGTAAATCATAGCTTCTTGTTTTAAAGCAATGACTATACCTTTCCTGAAGAGATTCTTAATAACTGTCGAAAAGGATAAAAATAGGTTGAAATTACATTGTATAATAGAAAATTCTTTTACAAAAGTCTTGGCGATGATCTTTGGTAACACGAATCACATGCAGCCAATTATGTTTGATCACATGCAATAATAGTCACCAATCAGATAGTTTTACGTGATTCTGCATGTGCTGAAAATCTGACGATTACTATTAAAATTGGCTCTAATAAAACCCTAACTACAAAAAAATTTAATAATATAGTGAGTAAAAAAAATATGTAATTTTGTAGTATACATTAAAGGCTATTTAACTATGTATTTATTTTTGCTAGTTTTATATTTAGTTAAAAAGCCTTTGTATTTTGAAGTTTTGGATGTAATTAAGTTGTTTGCACCATATATGTGTAGAAAATTCAAGAACTTGAATATTGTATGAGTCAAAAGATTATCATACAAGGCACTGACAATAATAGAAGCAAGCATAAAGAAAGAAGAAAACATTCTATAGGTGCTGCCACTTGGCAACAACAAATTAGCACATATAACAATTAAAGATAAAGATTATAACCAAAGAAACAAGCAAAGACAGTACACAGTCAAATTACTAAACATTCCAAGAGAAGCCTTAGAAGTACTTTTGTTATAATGCTTAAAGAACAAAGGTGCAAAAGCAGTATACATTCTATATAACAGGAATGGAAATCAAAAGAAGTTTGCAATAATCACTTTTGAGAATGCTCTAGTAGTAGAAAAAGCTCAAACAACACCAATATGGTACAATAACCACTGAGTGAGTTGGAAAAATCCCAGAAAGAAGAAAGTATAAGAAAGAAATGAATCAAGAGGAAGAAAACAAGAAAGATCAAAAGTAGATAGCAAATGACAAGAGACATCAAGAACTAAAAGCATAATGCAAGAAAGCCCAAATAAAAAATATGGTGAAATAGACTTAGACCCACAAATACAAAATATAGAAGAATGGCTAGAAGATAGAAATGCTAACATAGAAATAAAAAAAGTCGACATAAAGAAAAGGAAAACCAAAGCAGTCCTGCAAAACTAAGCAAAAACAGTACAAGTAGAAGATGTATTGTGTCAAATTTTGGATAGGCTAAACAAAATTGAAGAAATGCAGCTAGGTATAAAAAGTGGCCTAGCTAATCGCTTCTAAGGGTACCATAGTTGAACCAATGAATATTGACAAGAAGATTGAAGAGTTTTTACAAATTGAAAAGAAGGCGTTTAAAAAAAGAAAAAAAATTAAGACTCCTTGTCAAGAAGGGAAAGTATTTAATAGAAAAGAAAAAGAACCCAAGAGTATAGAAACAAAACACAAGCCACTTAAAGAAAAATGAAAAGAAAGAAAGAAAGAAATAAAACTAGCATGTTACAATGTGAATGGACTCAAGACCAAGGGTTGGAAAC